CAGGCTCAGTACCCGAGTCCAGATCAGGAGTCTCCTGGAAACGCACTGGTGGTGCTTTGCTCTCAGAAGCCATCAAGTAGGAGCATCTTGAGAGAGATCCCTGGGCTGGAGGGAACCACCACAGATTCCAGAAGGGTCATGCACTTGGTGGCATCCCTACGTTTGGGGCAATAGAGTAGTAGGAGTGCCTCAGGGAGTAGCGTGGGCGGCTGTGAAGGCAAGAGGAGTACGACCCCATTTCCGACTCTGATGATAAGGAGTCTCGGTGATGCAACCAGGGCAGTGTGGACCCTGTTGGTGCTGGAGATCGGTGCCGCAGTGGTGAAGCCAGCAATGAGGCTATCAAGGAAGGTTTTTCCCTAGAAAATAGTCCTGGTACTGGGCAGTGGCTGGGAGAAGATGGTTCCCTGCCGCTCAATGGCACTGGTGGCACCGCCAAAGACGGAGAGACTGGGAACGAAAGGAGGTCCTCGGCTGCTGCGAATGCTTCAGGAGTTGACGGCACCATAAACATACTGGAGCCATGTTGCCTGCCCAAGGTCGGTGCCTCCGGAGTCAGAGTCAGCGGAGCCTGTATAGGTGCCGGAGTTGCCAGTACCAGGTGTTGAGGTACTGAGGTGGAAGAGTGGCTTGGCATGGATCTCACTCTATCCCAGTCTCCACGTCTGGCCAAATTTGGTGCTGGGGATTGAGCACTCTCCAGCTGCTTCTTGTTTTTTTTCTTAGGCACTGGAGCCGGGTACTGGTGCCGAGACTTCCGCCTGGTGGCAAGCGTGCTCCGCACTGACGCTGAGTTACTCAGTACCGAGTCCAAGCAATTCGGCTCTGAAGCGGGTCTCAGAGATTCCTCCATGAGACGGACCTTCAATCTCACTTCCTGGCCTTTTTTGTGCAAGGTTTGAAGTTCTTACAGATCTGGCAGCAGTCCTTCCTATGTGCCTCTCCCAAGAACTTGAGAAAGCTTGAGTGCGGGTTGCTCAATAGCATTGACTTGCCACAGGAAGCAAAAGGCTTGAAGCCCGGTAGCTGAGGCATCCCACGGCACCAGGGGACAGATGAACTTCGCTAACTGATCAGGGAAGGGTCCTACACTAATATAACTAAAAACTGACTAACTACAAACAACTGATTAACTATTTACCCTAGAAAGATAGTGATAAACCCCTGGGAAGTTTGCTGAAGCAACCAGAGGAGTCCCAGCAACTGTCATGGGTGGTAAGAACGAACTGGGCAGGGGTGTAAGGTCAGCAGGGCTCCTTATACTGGCGCTATGAGTGTGCAGCACCAGGAGGCACCAGAGCTGAGCCGATGGACACCACTAGGGGAAAAAATTCCAGTAACTGTGCTCGGGGTGCGCACACACCTACACTGGAATGGACATGTACAAGCACTTGAAGAAGAAACTAAGGTTACAGGAAACATTACTTTTCGGGACATGAATCCCATATCAGTTTTAGTCACGTTCACTTCTAAAATGCATGTGTTCCTCATTTTGGGCCTTTCTCCCATATCTGAATCTCACTGAGGAGAGTGGTGTGAGATACTGACCAAAAATTATCAAAGCATGACATGAAGGAAAAGGCAGTGACGCTTTAAAATGTGTAAGGAAGCTTTTCTAGAGCTTTAATTTCATAATACTGCAGATCTTAGTTAAATAATTGCACTGTTGGATAGGTTAATGCCAGTCTACATGAGACAGTAGAGTATTGATCCTGTATTTGTGGGAGTGAGGCATGCGTACGTGTGTGTTTGTGTACTACAGCAAACCCCACCAACATTTAGTTTTTGGAAGCATGGAAGCTGGGCAGATATTTTATACACTCCAGGTCTCTGAATTCTCATTTGGGCTCAAAGTCTCTTATTGTTTCCTCTTGGGACTGCATTTCATACAGCAAGCCCAATCCATAGCCTTTGCATTTTATGGTTCCCCACTTGTTCCCTGCTGCTCTGATGCCCTTCTAGAGCTTCTTCTCTGGGATTCTTTTAACAGGCCTGAGCACTCTGACAATGAAGCCACTCCTCCAGCCATCCAAGCAGTGGACACAGTTGGTCTTCTACTCCCCTGGCTTCTGTTGTTTGGCCAAGGACCTAGTCAAGTTTGCACAGTACTCTTAAAGATTCCTTTCGGATGTGCCTGGAATCTGCTCACCCATGTACTGGTTTTCAAGAGTATCCCAGAGGTCAGTTAGCTCCCAAATGGAAATGCAAGTCACTTGGGAAATATGTTAAGAGTTCCCCTTTGCCTCTTTGCCCACTGAAACACTTGTCACTGAAAGTATATGAATTTTGAAATCTCCAATCCACACAAAGAGAATCTTTGCTGACTCAGGACTGAGAACATCTAGAGCAGGGGTGGCCAACCTGAGCCTGAGAAGGAGCCAGAATTTACCAATGTACATTGCCAAAGAGCCACAGTAATACGTCAGCAGCCCCCCATCAGCTCCTCCACCCCGCTCCCAGTGCCTCCCACCCACTGGCAGCCCCGCTGATCAGCACCTCCCCCTCCCTCTCCACACCTCCTGATCAGCTGTTTCATGGCGTGCAGGAGGCTCTGGGGGAGAGGGAGAGGAGCAAGGGCCTGGCAGGCTCAGGGGAGGGGGCGGGAAGGGATGGAGTGGGGGCAGGGCCTGTGGCAGAGTCAGGGGTTGAGCAGTGAGCACCCCCCGGCACATTGGAAAGTTGGCACCTGTTGCTCCAGCCCCAGAGTCAGTGTCTACACAAGGAGCCGCATATTAACTTCTGAAGAGCCACATGTAGCTCCAGAGCCACAGGTTGACCACCCCGGATCTAGAGAGTCAGTGGCAACTCTAGGTCAAATATTTAGGCAGGGCCCTGTATATTTCCTTAACTACTCCACATGTGCTATCCTTCTGCTGGCTTGAAGCTCCTGTTGCAACCTGCAGTACATATTCTTAGTTACTGGAACAGCTAACCCAAATGGATCTTTCATGGAAGAGCCATTCTAGCTCTGGGAATTGAGATGAAACTAGTTTATTTCACTCTGTGACTTGATTTTCTAATTTTTCTGAGTGAGGCAATGCCACCAATGCAGAGGCTTTAGCTACAGATCCATGACTGGAAAGAGGGAGCTGAGATACTTGGTACTCTTTGGATTCAGGACTGCTTCACCATTGATTTGCTTTATATTTGGCCTAGAAGTGAGAGGAAGTGAGGTGTATATGGAAATGCTCCACTTGAGACAAGCAAGGTGAACCTCATGTTGAATTGATTCACCTGGGTGCATTTCTATGGTTGATCCTGGCTATTTCTCAACCACTAGTCTAATGTTTTGCCAATTAACTACTACAGGTATCAGCTGATGATGGCAAGAGATCCTGAGACACAAGTGCTGCATGTAGAGAAGGTTGGTAAGGGGCTGCTATGCCAGTTTTGCTGTGTCAACCCTGAACGCCACAATACTTTTATACATAACAGCTCCCTGTAGCCCAGTCCAACCCTGGGTGACCCTTAAGTGATTCTATAGTGTGTGTGAGTGGATCAAGGAAGGGGCTCCAATTCAGCCTGATGATTTTTAAGACTGCTTTCTATGCATTTGCATGAAAGATGTCCTCAATGCTGATCATGTGATTTACCTAAAGCAGCCTGAATAACCATCTCCTCTAAGGTTTTACAAGGCAGAAGTCCTTATTGCTGCTGTAACAATTACTGTTTATATAGCAAGTGTATATATCAGTGTCACAGAGCTTTTATATATGGTTTATAAAGCAATAGACTATATAACCAATAATGTATATCTTAGATGTTTTAGAGCATGATTCACAATAGCATATAAGTGCTAATTATATAAAAATATAAACAAAAATATGTACACGCTATTTGATATATACATATATGCTAGGTGTGTGGAAGCAATAGCTATGTGAGAAATTGGAGAGGCACAAGAGACATTTCTCTTTCTCCTGTGATTGCCTCTGCTGCACTCTGCCCATTCCCCCCCATCCATATTATTCTAGTATTTCCGTGCTCACACAGCACCTGTTTTGTTGATAACTGCTAGATAAATATTTCTTCCTTCTCCTTCCAAATGTGGAATTTCCTCCCAGAATTATAACTGCCTGACAGCCAGGATTCAGTCCTGAACCAAGGACAGCTTTTCCATACAAGAAATGTCATTGCTTTGAAATCTAAAGACTCTACAAGGCTAAAAAAGGGAGCTTTATCCCAGTGGGAAGTATAGTTTCCCAGTGGGACACAAATCTTTTGCTTCTAACCCTAGAAGGTCCCAAGACACCAGCCTTTAATGTAGATACATTTTGAATGTATAGGAAAGCTGCTGTAGGTCATTTTTGCAAGGCTGTCTTGGCACTTATTTAGGCTGACCTGCATAACTCAGACATGGTTTCATCACTCATGAGTAATGCAACCAACCGAACCTCACACCACCACCAGGTATTCCATGCACACAGACGTACATAGCAGTGAATGACCCAATACTAATAACCCCTCCTCCAACAGAGAAATTCTATCTTTAATGGCTCTCTGTTAAAGATTCCTCATGTTGTTTCCAGCAACATTTTGTCTGACCTTTAATCAAAGATCAACTTGTGCTAGGCATCACATCTGAATTATTTCCTTGGATAGTCACTTAAGACACATTTCATTGATATAGGAAGAGTTTCCTTCCCTGTACCCTTGACACCCTTACCTCCCTAAAGGGACCATCTATAGGCTTAACCAGGAGCCTGTCCTGAGGCCCTTACTCATTCACTGACTTCAATAGGACTCCTCATCTGAGTAAAGGCTGATGGATCAGGAACCCAGTGTTCTCCCTTCCCATGTTGTGGCAAACACTAGTTATATTCTCATCACGGCAGTAACAGTGCCCAGAGATAACTGGAACCCTGTAAGGATCTGAAGGCTGTCTCACGTCTGCATTAGGCACTGGCATGCTGGGAAATGGAATACATGTCAAAATCAACTGCATATTTGTAAAGGCCTGTCCCTGGGCTCACATATAAGCCAAATGGCCATGCACTCACCTGTGTGTACAAACATGTGCTTGACGTAGTTCTGTTTGGCGGTGAAAGTCTTGTTGCAGAGAGTGCACTCGTAAGGCTTTTTTTCACCCTGTCCACCTGCTGTGCTGTGGCCCGCAGATGGGGCCAAGGGCTGTGGGGCTGGCAGCTGGGCAGTAAAGGTTGATAGGCCAGGCTGGGTCACTGTCACAAACTGTGTCTGTTGGCCAGCTAAGGGCTGGGGCAGGCTGAAAAGGAAAGGTTTAGGTCCACTGCCAGCAGATTGTGTGGTAAAGAGGGCGGGCAGGTAGGTGTTGCCAGCTGTGCCAATGACTTGTGTGTTGCTGGTCAGGGTCAGCGGCATCCTCAGATTGCTGGTGAGGGTTTCTGTCTGGCGTAAGTAGAGCTGGGTGCTTGGCAATGGTTGAGCAACTGTTGTGTTGACAGAAGGCTGCAAGGCCCCCTTTTCGCTGTTGTTACTGACAGTGAGCACTTTGCTGTCCATTTCAATGTCATTGCTTCTGTCCGGCGAGGAAGTGTTGGCATCGAGGTGCTGCGGATGGGTCTGTGTGCCTTCAGCAGGGACTTCATTTTGCTCTGCTTGGGAAGGTTCCTGCTGACCCTCTCGGCCCAGGTTAGCCATGAACTGCTGCTCCATGGAATCAGGCTCAGTCCCAATGGAGGAACTGACTCCAGAGTCAAAACTCTCCCCCTTGGGCTCACTCTCAGTGCCTTCGGCTTGGTCAGTGTCCTCAGTGCATTCCTCAGACTCATTACGCTCCAGGATCTGCACCCTCTGCTGGCCATAGTAGTCATAGTCATCCTCCATCTCCTGTTTGATGTGGATGTTGCCCACCAAGGTCTGGATCCGGACCGGACGTGGTTGCTTGCGGCAGTGTGTGGTCTCTGGAGTGGTGGAGAGGTACCGCTCCATCTGCTGTGAGCGCTCGTGGATCCGTGTAATCCAGCTGGGGTCTTCCATGTGATGGTCTCTGGGGAGCCCCAGGGCCGTTTCATGATGGCTGACCACTGCTCCACTGTAGAAGGAGCGCTCCCCACTGCCATTCTGCATGGAACAGGCATAGAGAGCTGAGTAGATCCTGTCCACGCTGTGCTGCGAGTGGCTCTGCAGGTAGCCAGACTCCGTGTCACTGCTCTGCCCTGAGGTGCCCGATTCGGGGGTCCCCCTGGGCGTCTCCTGCCCAGAGTCCTGAATCACTGGGTAGACCTCCCCCACATTCTGCGAGACGATCCTTGTGCATTCGTCAATCACAGTCTTGATCTGCAGGATGCTGGCAGCTGTGAGGATCTGCAGGGCCTCTGACTGTGAGACCCGCAGCACCCCACTGTACATGAAGTCAATGAGCTTTTGCACGGACTGGACCGACACCACTGAGGGGATCTCGATGTCACTGTACCCCAGCAGCAGCTTGTCCTGGAAGAAGGGGCTGCCAGCCGCCAGCACGCAGCGGTGGGCGCGTAGCATGCTCCCGTGGATGCGGACCGTCACGTCACAGAAGTGGCCACGGTTGCGCTGCTCGTTGAGGGTCTCGAGCACAGAATTGCTGAAGTTGTGAAGGTTGATGCTGTGAATGCGCTCTGTCATCCCCTTGCAACTGATGTTACCTGTAGCAAAGGATGAGACAAAACAGAGGGACAGATCAGGGCTTGTCCTCTGCATGTCCACAGCTGGCTAAAACACCTACCCACTGGATATACGGCACAGGGAACATCTTAGAGGTACCATAAAGGGGCACTGAGCACAAGGCATCACCTCTATGCGTGGAGACAATCAACTCCCCAGGGAAAAGATTTATCAGGATCTCTATGGGATGGATGAGTGCCTTGACTCTTCAAGAAAAACTAGACAAGACACTAAGGGTCAGATTCTCACTTACAGTCATGATCTTCACATCACACTGGTAATATGATGAGGCCGTAGTTTAAAAATTTCTGGCCCTCTATCTAGATCTGGATTTTGAAATCCCCAAAGTTAGGGCATAGTTTGATCCTGGGTATTGTAGTTCAGCCCTTAATAAAAATGGCAGCCATTTGCGAAATCCAAATCTGGACCATGGTTTGGATTTGAAACCTTTCCAAAATTCCAACTGTTTGTGTGTCTGGGGGCTTGGTTTAGGTCATTCATTACTCAAAAGTGAACTAACCCTCGGTCAAGAATCAAAGAAGATCCATTAACTTTCTCCCCTGTTTTCACTCCACCGTGGGGGTTTTGACACTACACCAGCTGGGATTAGAAGTGCTGTAATACCAAGATAAAAGCTGTCTGAGGGTATTTATTGCCTGACCAGAAGTGGGAAGTAAAAGGAACCTGGCCAAAATGCCTGTTCTAAGGAGAACTTCTCTTATTTACCTCTCACTGCTTTTACAGTTGGCTAAAAAATAACTATCTTTTTAATCTCTCAGTCCACTTCTCTCTCTCCCAAAAATTATTTTGATTTAATATTGATTCTCTCTCCCCTCTCTTGTCCGTTTAAATCAGTGGTTCTCAACTAGGGGGTACGTATACACTTGGGGGTATGCAGAGGTCTTCCAGGGGGTACATCAACCCATCTAGATATTTGCCGAGTTTTACAACAGGCTATGTAAAAAGCACTAGTTAAGTCAGTACAAACTAAAATTTCATACAGGCCATGACTTGTTTATACTGCTCTATATACTATACACTGAAATGTAAGTACAATATTTATATTCCAATTGATTTAGAATTATATGGTAAAAATGAGAAAATAAGCAATTTGTCAGTGACAGTGTGCTGTAACACTTTTGTCTTTTTAGGTCTGATTTTGTAAGCAAGTCCTTTTTAAGTGAGGTGGAACTTGGGGGTACGCAAGACAAATCAGACACCTGAACGGGGTACAGCAGTCTGGAAAGGTTGAGAGCCACTGGTTTAGATAACAAGAATTTGGAGGCAGATGTGTCTTCATATGTGCCTGCAAAAAACTTACCACACTCTGAAGGCTAAATAAATAATAGCCTTATTAATGAACCCTCACACAGTATCTGAGTGCTAAGATCCAAGACCAACGCAAATGTCACTGTTAGCATGTTTGTGAACATTCCATCAGAAATTTTCCCATCCCATGTCTGCAACCCACACTCACTGCAGTCATGCGCAAGTGCATGAGACACTGAAAGTGGAACTGACTCTATAAAATCAGTAAATCAAACTAGCTTATTTTTATTGTTTAAGAAAAAATGTAAAGCAAAGAAACAGCATCTAAGGTGATATTAATAACAAATGTAAGAATGTTTAATTTTTTGAATATATGATTTTTAACTTGCCAGTGTTCTTCTAAGTCCAACATAAAGAACATTTGGCCATTGTTATTATTCTCATCTTAGAGACAGGCAGCAAAATGCTACCAACTGCAATTTGCTGAACAATGCAGCCTCCTCTCACTCACGCCCTTTCCTCCTCATTTACCCATTCCTGCTATCTAAAGCACCCTCTCTTCTGGTGCTTCAAAGAGAAACCATATTGGACACAGGTGGTTATTTAAATTCTCTGATGATAAAAGGGGACCAAAAATGTCAGGAAATGGAAATTCTGATGGGGACAAGCTGCCTAAAGGAGCCTGATGCTTACAGAAGGAAACAGGCCAGTATTAGGGATTACACTAATTTCCATATGAAACTGCTCTCCCGGGAGATGCTCATATGGCAGCAATGCTTGGGAAATCACTAATGGAATCATGGAGACTGTGAATTATATCTGTTTTGTTCACAAGCTTTGCCAGGACATGTGAGCTTTATCCCCGACTGACAAGGGCACTGGAAAGATACTGCAGGTACCTCATAGGCATTCACTCATAGATATTGCAGGTATCACACCAAGTAATGTGAATGGGTCTTTTCCTCCTCCTACACCAAGTCAACCACCTCCCAGAGTCCTCCTGGCCAGCCATGGACACATCCTTATGTGTCAGATCACATGAGAATTCAAGATGAACTCAAGATAAAACACAAGGAATCTCTCTCCGAAAGACAGAGAACTTGGAGGCATTATGGGGGTAGGGCCCCTGCAGAAGCGGGAGTGTGCTGTGGCTGATTGTTTAAGGGATGACACCTCCTTTCTTCAAGGCCATCCCTGGACAAGGGCATGAGGATGTCTAATTGAGCGGATACACAAGACATTCTCTTTTTCACAAGTTCTGCTTGGTCAAAACATACCTATCACAATCTGCTTTGATCATGAGGTATCCTTTTAATTCAAACCGATCTTTAAAACCAATTCTCCCTGTAATTTTGTTCCATTTTATAAAAAAGATATATTAAATAATAGCAAGACATACAACAGCCTCGCTTAGCCTCTCACATCCAAAAAACACTGGAGGGAATACCCCAGAAGCACCTGGCTGATTCTATAAACGTATGGTTTGATTTTCAGAGGTGCTGTGAGTCCCTTCTTTTGATGCACCAGTGCAGCCCACATTAGTTTGGAAGCTGGACTTTTGCAAACACATTCATAGGAGAAGATACTTCAGTTCAACTTTATTTATTTCAAAGTAATTTAACGCTGGTGAAAGTTGCTGGACTGACAACCCTTGGAGACTGAAGTTTGCTGTTTATTCACAGGACAGATGAACAACTTGAGCAGCATCAGGGAAGCTTTGTTCATACATCCCTCTAGCATTCCCATGCCCTAACCTGAAGAGAAAGGGGAATTCTGTATCTATGCTCCATTCAGTCCTTGGATTACAAGGGTATAGCTTGTTCAGGAAGGATAGGCAGGATAAAAAGGCAGAAGGTGTTGCATTACACATCAAAAATAAATACACTTGTTCTGAGATCCAGAAGGAGGTCAGAAGTAGACTAGATGAACATTTCTGAGTAAAGATAAAATGGATAAAAAATAAGCATGATTCATGGTAGAGGTCAACTACAGACTACCAAATCAGAAAGAGGAGGTGGATGAGGCATTTTGAGAACAAGCAATACAAATACACAAAACACAAGACCTGGTTGTAATGTGGGACATTAACGACCCAGACATCTGTTTGAAATGTAATACAGCAAAACACAACATTTCCCATAGGTTCTTGGAATGCATTGGGAACAACTTTTTGTTTCAGAAAGAGGAGGAAGTAAACAGAGAGGCAGCCATTTTAAACTTGATTCTGCCTACAGGGAGGAATTGATAGCGAATCTGAAGGTCTGGGTGATGTGATTATGAAATGATGGATTTCATGATTCTAAGGAAAGAAAGTCATGAGAAAAGAAGAGTAAGGACAAAGTAAGGACTTTAAAACAGCAGATTTCAACAAACTTGGAGAACTGGCAGGTAAGCTCCCATGGGAAGAAAACCTAAGGGAAAAAAGAAGTTCAGGAGATCTGGCCTAAAGGCACAACTGCAAACTATCCCAAATGCAAAAGAAAGATAGGAAGAACTGTAAGAGGCCAGTATGGCTCCATCACAAGCTCTTTAATGACCTGAAAATTAAAAAGGAATCCTACAAAAACTGGAAACTTGAGCAAATTGCAAAGGAGGAATACAGAAGAATAGCACAAGCATGTACGGACAAAACCAGAAAGGTGAGGGCACAAAATGAATTATACTTAGCCAGGGACATAAAGGCAATAAGAAGAGGTTTTAAAAATACATAGGGAGCAAGAGAAAGACAAAAAGGTCCTCTACTTAGTGGGGAATGAGAGTTAATAACTGAAGACATCAAGAAAGCTGAGGTGTTTAATGCCTATTTTATTTCATTCTTCACTAAAAAGGTTAATGGTGATCAGATACTCAAAACAAACAACAAGGGGGAAGGAACACAAGACAAAACAGGAAAAGAAAATGTTAAAGAATATTTAGATAAATTAGATGTATTAAAGTCAGCAGGGCTTGTTGCAATTCATCCTTGGGTACTTAAGGAACTAGCTGAAGCAATCTCAGAACCATTAGCAATTATCTTGGAGAACGGCAAACATAGTACCTATCTTTAAAAAGGGGAACAAAGAGGACCTGGGGAATTACAGACCCATCATCCTAACTTTAATACCTAGAAAGATATTCAGACGAATTATTAAACAATCAATCTGTAAGCACCAAGAGGATAATAGGGTTATAAGAAAGAGCCAGCATGGATTTGTCAAGAACAAATCAAACCAAACTAACCTAATTTCCTTCTTTGACAGGGTTACTGGCCTAGTGGTTAGGGGGAAGCAGTAGAAGCGATATATCTTGATTTTGACATAGTCCCATATGACTTTCTCATAAGCATACTAGGGAAATGGGGTCTAAATGAAATTACTGTAAAGTGGGTGCACAACTGGTTGAAAGACCGTGCTCAAAAAGTGGTTCGCTGTCAAACTGAAAGGGCATATCTAGTAGGGTCACACAGGGTTGCTCCTGGGTCCGGTACTATTCAATATTTTCATTAATGCCTTCGATAATGGAATGAAGAGTGTGCTTATAAAATTTGCAGATTACGCCAATCTGGGAGATGTTGCAAGCACTTCGGAGGACAGGATTAAAATTCAAAACCCCCTTGACAAATTGGGGAATTCGTCTGAAATCAAAAAGATGAAATTCAATAAAGGTAAGTACAGAGTATTTTACTCAGGAAGGAAAAATCAAATGCGAAACTACAAAATGGGGAATAACTGGG